AATCTCTAAGAGGGCGTAGAAGCTGTGAAGAGGAGGTTTGGGAGTAGAGTTAGTGAAGGTAAACCAATTTTTTGAGAGGCATGACTGAGAAGAGCAGAATGGATAAAAGTAATAGCTGTATAGAATGCAAAGCTTAGAAGGGTTTTGTCTATTTGCTTTGTTTTTCTTTCTCTTTCAAGATGAGATATTTGAGCTGTCTTTCAAGTTCCATTCAGTGGAATTATTTTCGGTACTGCAATTGTAGTTTAATAAAGCAAAATATCTTTTCGTATGTAAGATAAGTGACACACTTTCCAACAAAATGAAGATTGTTGCCCTCTCAAATATTGGTAGTCTGTTCCCATGTGAAACTTGTCTTGATTAAATCATCCACTGAGTGTAAAGTGACTAGATCAGTTTCCTATTTCAAAAAATATTTTGTGCAGTTTGTAAAATCCTGGTCAAATTTCTTAAACACATGTATGTGGCTTCTGCTGCTATTTGACACCTAAAGAGTCAACTCATATTTTATCGTGGGCTATCATCAGATGTGATGATAAAATTGGTATTCAGTAAGCAATGAATCTTAGAATGTTTAGCCATGCCTATCAGTCAGAAACATCAGTGAATGAAGCATGGTAGGTGACACTTTGGTCACCATCAAGCTGTCAACAGCTATCACTTGTGTGTGTCAGGTGTCAAGGAAAAAGGGTGCAAATAGACCTGAGAAAGCAGAGATGCTGCTAATGTATGTCACCGTCGACCCTAAACTGCCCTGGTTCTTATCAAAATAATTAGTAAGTCAGCATTTGTTTTTGAAATATCTAATACTGGGTTTATTGGAAGATGTACAATGTGAGTAGCAGTGTATGTGCTGCCAGCAGCTAATTATGAATATCTAATAGTGAAGCTTAATTTAGACCTACAAGCCAGCAAGACTCTGAAATAATCGGTGGGAAAGTATATTCCATCCCATGATTTAGATGGACACATATATCCTCCTACCTTTTAAATAGAAACAAATTAGGATATAGGCTTTCTGGTTCTTGGACAATACTCTACAGCTAATCATCAGAAGCATGCTGTCTTACCGCTATTTATTCATTAATCTTTTCCCAACCTAATTTTTTGCAGAAAGTAAACTATTATCGTTAATAAAGAAGCCATTAATTAGGAGTTTCATCAATAAAGAATTCAAGTTGTTGGAGCTGGGCAACATAAGATTTAGAATGGAGGAAATGGACTGTGGGTTGGTCTAGAGTTTTCAGTTAGCAGGATAGTGAGACTGCAGGAAGGCTGAGGTGACACACATCCTGGTTAGAGGGTGTATGAAGAGGTTGACCCAGGGTCAATCTGGGTAGGGAAGTAAGAACAGTGAAGAGACTGAGGGAAGAGTCAAAGGCAGGAACTTAGTTATGCTGAAGACATGGTTTGGAGGAAGGAGAGTAGAGCCTGAATAATAGAGCTTAACATAAGAAAGAATCTCAGTGAGATATAGAGTTAGTTTTAGTTTTACTTGTGGATTTAGGCCAATTGCTTGCATGATTATATTTTGTGATCTTTTATGAAAGCATTATGTATATCTTTTCATTATATGTGTCTTTTATTAGATAATATATGTTTAATGTCTTTTCACAGAATTCTTTTATTATAAGAGGCTAAACATCTTTCAAAAGTGCACACACAATTTTATATTTGCACTTCTTCCCCTAAGTTGGGTACTTTCATGACCCTCAGAAATTCCCTCATTTATATAATTTATTTTGTAATAGAGCAGAAGGTATACTTTATACATTTTTCATTTCCCCCGATATTACATGTCTCCCTAACTGCTGGTGTTTATAACATAATTTATAGTCAGCATTAGTGTTGTAAGAATTAAAGTCAGTGACCATGGGATAGGATGTAATTTGTAACATTGATGCTCATGGAATTTCTTTAAATGATTAGTGTGTACGAGAAATGATGATGAGTTTCTAAATTTATAATAGCAGATCTTACGTAAGTAATAGGTTTAAGCAAAAATAGCATTTTTTTAAACAACACAATTGCTCTTTTTTGGATGTGTATATGAGAGTCTGTTATTCACTTTTTCTGTGAAAGCCAAAAGCAAAATAGGAAGTGTCAGAAAATGATAACAATACAATAGGAAAGAAATAAAAAAAAAAGAAACAACAGGAAATCCAGCTTCAAAGAGCAGAGGAAAACCTCAACCTCTTCTAAGAACAACTTGAGTAACATTGGGCAGTGGTTCAACACGCTCGAGACTCATTTTTCCTAACCTTTTAACAGGGAGGATGCTGTCAATGATATCTATTGCAAAGTTAAGTGCATACTATCAATCTCAAAAAAAAAAAAGTTTTCTATAATACTTATAATAACCTTGTGAATCAGCTTTCAGAAAGAAAGGGTAAGAGTATTCCCATGCATAAGTTTTAATACTACCATTATTAAATATTGCTTTAGTCTCCAAAACAGTTTAGGGAAAAGAGTTGGTTTAGAAAACGTGAAGTTTGTAGCACTAAACGCTCAAAATTATACCCAGTTCTTACAGATGCTATATTTGTTAATGGTAGTATAAGAATGTTTAAGATGTTCAAGAACAGAGAAGTAAAGACCAAATTTAAGAGCTATTTTAAATCTTACTTAAAATTAAATTCCACAATTAAATTCTAATGTATTATAAAAGATGTTTGATAATGAGTGCCCATGTAAATACCTAGAAAGAAATATAATTTTTCTTTTTAAACTCCAAGGTATAATCCTATATCTAGATAATGGTTTTATAACTTTTTGGCTCATTTACATGAAAACATTGATTTAAGGCTGCTTGGCATATAATGGGGAAGGAGTATGAAGATTAGAATCCTTTAGGAATTGCTACGGGCTTTTAAAAAAAAGTCAGTTCCACATTTTGACAATATGTGAAATATCTTTCTCATTCCTTCCTTGTGGCATTTTCTTCCCCTTTATCTGGCATATGTGGTTTGTAAACACAGGTAGCATATTATTGTAGTAGAACGAAAGCCTCTGAGTCAGACTACCTGCATTTGAATTCCAGCTCTACCATTTACTGACTAGGAGGCTTTGGGGACGTAACTCAAATTCTCTTTGCCTCAGGTTCCTCATCTGAAAAGAAAGGAAATCAACAGTAGTATCTGCTTCATTAGTTTGCATTTAATCATGCAAAGAAAAAAAGACCAAGATAATGTGTGTAAGGCATCTGGCACGTAATGACTACTCGATAAATGTTACTTTGCTTCGGTTCAAAAGAAACTAAGTTCTTTGGCAGTTCAGCAGAAGGTTATAGTAATAACTTGCAACATTTTAACAATATTCATTAAAGGCATGTAGAAGAAATTCGTTCCAAAGTAGTTTTCTATTAGTCCTGAGAAAGAACTATTGTCAAATTAGACAGAATAACAGTTTCTTCCTTTGAAAACCAAAAGTCATTTCTTGGTCAACCGATGGCGATTTTGACATTGATCATTTCAGACATAGTGTGTAGTACCAAAATTCTCCAATTAACTAAGAAATCAAAACATATATATAATATTTTCCCTGCTTTGTATCAGAATTCTGCTGGACTCTGAATTTCTGAATACACACAGAAGTATAGAACATGATTGCTGTTCCAATAAACTACAAATTTAGTTGAAAGAAGGCACATGCGTGATAAATATATGATAAACTGTGTGTTGGTACTAAAACAAGCCTTTGAGTGCAAAAGAAATTATGGCTTCATAGATTAAGTGCATTTAGACTTTGATTTAGAAATAAATGATGTTTGAATAAGTGGCAAGGGAACATTCTAGGAAGAGAGAAACGTAAAAATCTTGGGGGTGTTTGGGAGGGGGCATTGGATCAGATGTGGACAATCAAGATGAACCCTAAATGTTCACTTCTTTATGGTCAGTAAATGGCAGAAATTTGGCAGATATCTCTTTGCCTCAGCAGCAAATGACTGATCAATCATTAAGTAGTTGATGGGAACAACTGATCTTTGTCACCCAATTCAATTTCCTGCTAAATGTGTGATTTTAAGGGAAATATTTAAATTTATACGAGTTTTCTTTGAGTTGTGCTCATCTGGTAAATATTCAGCTATTAACTTACATATTCTCTGTCCTGATACATTAAAAGTTTCTGATGTACGTTGTTTACTATAATTATAGCTTCAGATATTTGATGTTTAGTACTGTGATATTAATTTGAAAGTTGTTGACTGTCCTAGAGTACAGCAGTCCCTTGGATGTGGGACAGGAATTCTACAGATAATAAGCATAATTTGACAGACAATGCTGTATGAATCTATGAGAAAACCTATCTGAATAGCGAGAAGTATAATATTAGAAGAAAAATTTGAGTGGTTCATTTTCTTATGCAACACAAAAGAATAAAAACAGTTTTAAAGATCTTATACATAAAATACAAATTATGTTTTAATAAAGTAAAATTATCATTTAAGAAAAGAAAATGGGTTTGTAGTTAATCAACAAATTAATGTAGGTTTTTTTTTCGTTTTTTAAAGATTTTATTTTTCCTTTTTCTCCCCAAAGCCCCCCGGTACATAGTTGTGTATTCTTAGTTGTGGGTCCTTCTAGTTGTGTCATATGGGATGCTGCCCCATCATGGCTTGATGAGCGGTGCCATGTCCGTGCTCAGGATCCGAACCAGCGGAACCCCAGGCAGCCGAAGTGGAGCGGGCGAACTTAACCCCTCAGCCACGAGGCCAACCCCAAATTAATGTTTCATAGTATAAACTTTTATATCAGAGAAAAATTTAAGGATTGTATTTATTCTTTAAATGTTATGGGTCACAATACCTCACGTCGAGGAATAATAAAGCACCCTTTTGATGGTATTATTTCTTAGCATTAATTAGTCAATTGCATTAATCTATAATGTATCAATTATTTTTGCTTTCCTTTTCCATCTCATCAACTGACTTAGATTTGACATCATATAACTGCCCCAAAATGTGAATTCAAAATGTGATTCCCATTTTTTTTTTCTTTCAGGGAAATCTTGAGGAGTTTGATACTTTCCAACCTCCAGCCATTAATCATTTTGTGGGGGAAGGCTATATATTGGTAAGTCTCGCTCACTCTAATTGCTCTTTTTGTAGTTCACTTTAATGAAGTCTAGGGCTTGATTGTAATAGAGAATAAACAGGATCAAACACGTGTCAACATCATTGCTTGGCTAATTAGAGAATGATTTTTTTTCCAAACAAAATTTGTAACATCAGGATTTTGTGGTATTTAATTGCTCTAGTAATAGGTGTGCTATTAAAATCTATAGATGTAAAATTAAAATTAGGTGGAGAATTGAAAGTTGTAATTTCTTTTTAAAGTCTAACATTGTAGTGGTATTGCTTATAGGTAATTTTTAAGATGTTTTATTCATTGACACCATGGTCCACAAGAAACAGTTAAATGAGCATCCAAGAAGAGGTCTCAGGCTGCAGTCAAACAAAAACTACTAAATTTTATCAGCTTTGGTAATATATAATAGTTACTTCGCATATTGAAGTGCAATTTTGAAGTTCCACAATTCTTATATATTTTTATGCCATAAAATCAAATACATCCTTTTTTGCTTCAATTTATTTTTTTCTCTAAATAGGATTAACGTATACTGGTATCACATTTCTGAAGAATCCTCCCCTCAACTATGCAACTGTCCAACTCTCTCTCTCTCTCAGACACACACACACACACACTCACACACACACTCATTCCTTAAAATATCATAAATGTTTCATTTGGGTCACCAATTGTTAACTTGAACATTCTCATTTCCTCTAAAATACAGTTTCTGAGGTATTTCCTATGCTCTCATGTGCTTTGGAGGTATGATCTCCAGACATTTTTGATGAAACATTCCATCAGTTAAAAATGTTAAATATGCACTCAATGATATGTACATTATTTATAAATTACGTAAATTTACCACTGTCTTTTTAGATAGACAAATAATAGTAAAAAATATGAAATGCATACAATAAAAATTTTAGAAGGTACAATGACTATATATATATACATATGTAGTAGAATTTATATATATTTATAATTCTAGTGGGACTTTGGGAACCCCAGTTCTAGAAATCCTCTGCTTTCTGCTATTTCTATTAACTTGTAGAAGTTGTATTGGGCACTAAAAGACTCTTTGAAAGAAAAAGTTCATTTCAAGCATTAGATTGAATAGATATCCTACATGCTGCAAGTCAGTGAGTGTGGTTATACATTTATACACACAAATGGATACGTGCATGTGGTTGATGTCGACAGTACTGGCTGGATTAAAAGTTTGAGGTGGCTTAGAGTGGCATCCAGCGATCTTATCTGAATACTCAACTTCTGGAAAGGAGTAGAAGAATTCAGAGAGATCGTTGTAGAGAATCAAAGAGCCACATAGTTAGGAAGGACACTTCGTGTCATATGGAATACCTCCGAAGATGTCTTGCCAAGTAGATATGTCGGCAAATGTAGACTGGCAGCACTGATGGTCACTGGATGACAGAATTCCTTAGTCAGGCATAAGCTGGCCACTTTTTTTCTCAATAGGGTCCTCAGTCTTGGGTCACTTACATGTTATACTATAAGGAGAAGAAAGGAAGAGTAAATGGTTATAGTAAAAATTATTTAACCCAAATTTTTTCTGCATGTATGAACCAACAATTGAGCTGTAAGAGTTGTTATTCACAGTGTGCAGATAACTTCCTTTGGCTGTTGGCTATAAATCGCCAGCTCCCCAGCCTTACCCCTTACAATAGAAGCTCACATTCAACTGTAGTCAAGCCTCAGTTCAAATCTGAAGCCAGGCAGGAAGGTGCTGAGACATCAAATGACAAATTCAGGACTCTCCAAGACAAGCCAGCCTTTATTAAATCTATAATATGAAAGCCTTTGTAATTGCTGATCCCACTTATTTTAGCCCTCTTCCAACTCAAAAACCTACCATTGCTGAACAGACAAGAATCCATTTAAATATCCTGTTATCCAGGAAGCAGTTTTCCATCTCTTATCTTTCAAAATCTCATGTCAAATACCTTGCTGAAATACAGATATATTGTGACTACATCCCTCCTTTAATCTACCAGTCTAGTAAACTCTATCAAAAATAAAAAATAAAGTGAGACTTGTCTGACACAGTTCAGTGAATCCTAAATGACTTTTATTGATTATGGCCTTCTTCACAGGCCAGTTAGTTGATAGATAATTCATTCAAATTCAAGGATATTTGAGGGATCAAGTTCTACCTCAATAAGTCATAGCACATGTAATCCAGCTTGTCATTTTTAAAAAAGCTACTATTAACTGGCACTAGGTTCACTATACTTGGGCTATGACTTTCCTCTAGAGAAAGAAAAAGAAAGCAGAGCAATGAGTTTTGCTGTTTCATTTTAGACTGAATTTTTCCTGTTCTGTGTTCTGAGCAGTCAGCCACTTCATAAAGCTGTCTGACTTGTCTGCTGTTAAAAATAAAAAAGTAAGAAAAAAGAAGAAAATTAATTTGGTACCTTCCCAGAACACAGATGAAGATTTAAGCAGCTTTGTACTCAAAGTTGCTGGTGAAAAATCACAAACCATAGAATCCGAGGGTGAAGATGAGGTAAAGAGTAGGCGTAACAAGTTGGTTGGGTTTCCTCTTCATTGAATAATCCACGTGCAGTGTTCAAGACACAGGCACCCACTGCTCAGACTTGCAAGATTTTCTCAGATGGAATTTCCGTAATTGGATATATTCCCTATGGTGACTTCCTTCCCTTACCCATCACCAAGCCTTAATACATTTAACTCTTGTCTTTGCTCTAAGTCTTCCCTTTTCCCAGCTATTCCTCTCAAGAGTTAATATTAGCCCAATAACTGCTTATGTTTCTTCTCTTTTCAGTCTATAGCTTTCATGGTTGAACTCATCTGCTTCTGTAGCTTCGAAGATTATTTATATCTCGTGAAACTCAAATCAATATGTCCTCTTAAGATCTCATTACACAGAATAAAATCAGCATCTCTATTTTATAGCACATTAGCTTCCACTTCTAATATATTAAAATTGACTCACCATGCTTTCCTACAAACCTCCTTTTGTCTTTCCCATTCTGTGAATAGAAGTACCGTCTACCTAGTTTCCCAAAAGGAAACCTGGGAAATATCTTGGATTCCTCTCTCACTTCTGTTATTTATATCACTCATGAAATCTCGTCATTTCTACCTCTGGACCAATGGGAAATGTTACAGGAAGTCTAGGGAAAAAATATAATATACATTTTTAAAACAGCTTGAAATGCTTTGGTGGAAACTAAATCTATAAAAAGAAACAAAATGATCACTGTATTCTAAAACAAGGACAAAGAGAGAATTCGTTCCCAAGTAAAAGGTAATGCCAAAGTATTTATCAGTTAGTGGATTGTATTTTTAGTACAAACTCCAATCTCTTTACTTTTATTTCAGTAATACTTTAGCATTGCTACTCATAAATGTGTGCTCATGTATCTTTGTAGAACCATTGTATCATTTCCCAATAACCCTGGAAAGTTTAATGTTTAAAATATTCCCTTATGTGATAACATCAGTGAGAAAAGAAGTTCTGTACCATATATACACATACCAGATGCTTCCATTTGTAGTGATCAAACATACATATTTTTCTTTAATTTTTTTAAATTGAATAGAACATATGACATGCATTTGCCTGAGTGTTAATCCAGTTTGGTACTCTTGTACATAGACTTAGCAGATGCATATGTACATCTCTCCACGTTACTGGGCCATATTTGTAACCTAAGGAATCACCGCTGCCCTGATAAGTTAAAGTAGATGGTATCCCATCCATCTCTTTCTTCCCCCAAATTTAATACTTATGCTTTTATCTTAACTGTTTTGAACATCATAATGAAAGTTTTCATCCTTTTGCTCCATAGTTTCTTTTTATTACTGGAAGTGGAAATTTTGGTTGCCCTTAGGTTATATGATGTAATAAAACTGACAATTCGTATTGTGTTCCAATTCTGTTTAGTTATAGTGGACTTTCAACCCCATATGTGAGATTTTCTGGAACCTGAGTCTGTATTCCTATCAATGGCCAGAGTGAACTGAATTAATAGAAAGAATTACCCCTTTTTATTTATTCTACCAAGGCCGAGTCTCCCGAGGAATGCTTCATTGTTGCAGACAATACATTCCCTGGTCTGCTGGCTGGCCTTAATGGGATGTTAAAATCGATTAGAGCAATTTCTCTGTCACCTGAGAAGCACTGTAGTAGGTTTTGTGGTGTGTTGCAATTTCATATCCTTCTCATGTCTTTTTAAAAAATTTGCATCACTAAACCAAGTGTCTTCCTTGTTTATGAGACCACAACTTCCTCATTCTGAGGAAACAGTTCTTGTAAATGTGTAATATACCTGGAATCCAGGCAGACCCACCACAGTGGTTTTGTCAAAGCCAGGGTAGACAATATTGCAGGCGGCAGAAGCTAAGACTGCATGTTTGCAACTAACAGTGCTGCTGTATTGAGAAAACACTGCCCCCTTGTGAAGCTTTATCCTTGTGAATACTGTTCCAACATTTAAGCACAGATTGTGGGATAAAATAAACAAAAACAGCTTTATTTTTGTCTATGATTGCCTATTTTAATCACTGTCAGGATAGTTATTTCCCTGCCCCTTGAGAAACACAGGCAGGCTCCTTGATTTTTCTGATAACTTTATGATGAAAAATGTCTACATCACTTCAGAACTTTAAAGCACAGTGTCAGTTCATGTCCGTTCCCATGGATTAATGTTGAAACCTCTCCTGCTTGCCAGTGTGGGCCATTTGCAGCCAGTGGTGCAGGAGGAATGGAGTGATCACCTTCTATCTTTCTCTGTTCAAACCTTGCTGAATTCCTCCTCCTCCAGCTTTCCAAAATGCTTCGCTGTGGGGCATGGTAAGAGAGAAGAGGTACGGGGATCAGTAAAGGTCTTGGTTAAATGATATTGGCCTGGACCGGTAGGTATTTAAAGCTAATTTTTTCCTGTCGGTACATCTGCGGTTTCTTCAAGGACCCCACCAATCTTTACAGATATTTTACAGCAGTATCCTTTATGCAA